TGGAAGGAATAAAGAAATGAAGAAAGTTGACTAGAAGCGGAGAATTTCCCAGATGTTGAATTTCGATGCATGTAAAAGCCACCTCGGCTAATTCTGTTTGGTTCCTTCTTGATAATTCTCAAATCGCCGTCATTTTCCGATCTATCTAGTTCCTTTTTTCTGACCCAGAAACCATCATTGTACCCGAGATCGCAGATTTAAGGCGAGCGAAGCCTTTCAATCCATCGGAATTTGTCTCCGGAAGTCGGAGAATTTGCTTGGATTTGGAGTCCTGGAATCTCTGATGGATAGTTCAAGTGACATCGAGGGTGATTGCGACGGGAGAAATGAAGGAGGATCCTCATCGGATTATCGATTGTTGGGTCGGCAAGTTACGGTTCATCAGTTCATGGGCGGTGGCAAAGGCGAGTGCTTTGTTTCCGATTTCATTTTTCAGCAATTGGGTAGTTTCCGATGAGAATTTTCGGGATTTATCGACCCTAGAATGGAATGTTGGAGATGATGCTTTGAAATGTTAGGGTTTCTGATTTTGCTGGGCTAAGTGCATTTCCTATTCTGAGTTTTGTTATCATTTTGGGTAGTTTTCGATTTAACTTGGAAAAAGTTAGGGATTCTGATTTACAGAGCACACATGTGAAATGATCATGTGTGCAAACTACATCTAGCATTTTGGTATAGTAGAGGATTGGAAATTTTGGCAGGTGTAAGTTAGGTTGTGTTTGATCTTGAATGAATGAGTAGATGGATTTGTACAAATCTGGATTGCATTTTCTTCTCTGGGGGAAGAAATGCGTGATAACATAGGCCAAGCAAAGAGCCTCTGTTTGAGAAGTTCTGGAAGTGACTCTCAACCATTTTGTATGGCTTTGTTCTTTGATGCAGCTGCCGACTTGCTCTTATGGAGGAGACGACATCTTTCTTTGGGGGTTATCGTTTTATCAACTGTAGCTTGGCTCATATTCGAGCTTTCAGGACTGCCTTTCTTATCTGTTTCTTCAGATGTCTTATTGATCTTGATCATTGTATCATTTGTCCATGCCCGGGTTTCTGCTTTTAGGAAGAGGTGCGCATTGCTTCTCACCACGCTAGTCTTGCTTCGTAATTCCTTGCGGTTTATGTGACTGATCTCTATCGGTGTTTCTCTGTATAAGCAGACGAGCGAATTCATTACCAGAGCTTGTTCTATCAGAGGAGATGGTGAATAGTGCTGCAGCTTCATTCCGTATAAAACTCAATCACTTGCTTGTAATGGCTCATGATGTTACCGTTGGCAACGATTTTCGACTCTTCTTCAAGGTTATGAATCTAGCCCTTTCATGAAACTCCCAATGATACTACTGATTCACATTAATTCATAAGCATTTGAACTAATTGGCCTAGATGTTAACAAGTCGACAATCTTTCTTTAGCAGGTGGTGATTTGTCTGTGGCTTCTTTCTGCCATTGGTAGCTATATCTCTTTCTGCACTCTTGTTTATATCGGTTAGTAGCTTGATCCCTAGATGCAAGCGAAAGAAAAAGCATTTAAGCTCGTCTCTCCTTAGTTTCTTCCCCATTCATGACCTTTTAATTCCTTATCGTTGCTTGTTGATCTCGGTTAATATCTTCCTGGACGAGATTGCTGTTTTAAACTCAGTGAGTCTTATATGAAGTTTATTTCTATTATGGTGTGAACAGGGACCATCCTATCTGTAACAATACCGGCTTTGTACAGCAAATATCAAAGCAAAGTAGACAAGTGTTGTGGGTCGATTCACAAGCAGTTGTCTCATCACTACAAGTTAGTGGACGAAAGTGTGATAAGCAGACTCTCATGGAGCTTATCCAAGGATAAAGATTCATGAGCTTTAACTTTGGTAATTTTGAAAATGCTTTTACTTGTTTTCGTTCATAGTTTTTACTAGTTTGGTTTTCTTCTTGTCCACCATATGTAGTATAAGTAAACGACGATATCCAGATGAATATATAAGATGGTTTCTTTGTTCAACTAAATTAGCCGACTCCATTCTGTAACAGAGGCTTTTGCGTATAGCTTAAAGCCTTGAACACTTCCATTGGCTTCTGTATGCTAAACGACGTCGTGGCAAGTTTCCTTTTGGGGATTGATCAGCCCAACGTTAAGGGGCCCTTTGCCGAGTAATGTTAGGGAAAGAGATCTGATTTAGTCGAAACTTTTTGTGGAAACATATTCCGATATACTCAAAGGTCAAGTAGTTAACTCATAGTCATATCAGATTTATGTGTTCTAAAAGTATATAAAAGCCAAAGATCAAAATGCATGCAACTGAAAAAAATAAATAATACTTAATAGACAAATTAATTTTCGTTTGTTATTAATATTTGTTTTTATAGAGATATATAGAGAATCAGAGGATGATTATACCCACGATGTAGTCTAATATAATTTATTTTCTTAGCGTTTACAAACTGATGATAAGTCTATTGATTTACATTGTTTGTTTGTTAGTTACGTGATTGTAAACTATATATAATGGAGACGAGGAGATGATAAAACCT